TCTGAGTAATAATCTATAAGATCAGATTTTCTGTCCGTCACATGTTGTCTGCCTGTAACTTCTCATGTATGTACGCAGTGCGCATGCGTATGCCTGTGTTGTACTTGACTGTGTTTGATATGCTTGCGCTATTTAATATACCCACAGGCGTACAATGTACCTTTTTCATACAGTCTGGACAACCCCTACACTGGATTAGCGCAATAAAGTCATAAAGTTGGAAACATAAATAAAGAAATTTTAAACCCTGGAAAGATCAGGTAATTGTAACATTTTACTTTTCGTAAAGTTTTCGGTAATAAACAGAATTATTTTTAAAGTCATTTTTTTTTATTTTGTAGAAATATTTTTCGATCTGTCCTCGAATAAAAATATACATATGCACACCTAAACATTCATACACACACAATTTGAATGAAACAGAAATTACCGCGAGGATTAATTCACTTTTCTCTTTAGCAACAACCCCCGGGTTACAGAAAAAAAAGTATAAACAGAAATGTATAGCCCTTTGAATATGTTTACTAATAAATGTAATATTTAAATGAACGCTAATGGACGCAAAACTACTGCTACTGCTGCTACTACTACTACTACTAATACTACTAATAATAATAATAATAACACACTTAAAAATTGTTAATGTCACGCCACGAAACTTGAGAGTGAGGCTGAGTGAACAATTGAGAAAACCAATGTACCAAAATTCATTTAACAACAAGGCAGTAATAATAGTAGAAAATCAGACACACACACACACACACACACGCATATATATATATATATATATATATATATATATATATATATATATATATGTAGAATCGATTTCATCCCCTTGAAATATGCAAGGCAGTAAAGCTACTAAGACGCAAGTGGTTACTCGGCTTCAGTCATTTTCTCACCGCCGTAAGGTTGCCATCCTGTAGCTTTTTTCTATAAATACTTTCATGGTAATTGTTAGGATGACATCTTCGCTATGGTAACTGTACTTTATGAATTTAAGCGCAGTATTAGACTGGCATCAAGGTGTCATCATGTCGCACTTCTTGCTTGTGGCATTCAATTCCAGCTCTGTATTTTCCAGGCAACTTTAATCTGCAAAATTTTAAATGCAATAGCAATCACTATCCTATCTACTGTCTTCCTGATTACTCTTCTATTGTCCTCGCTTCTTAATAATGTTTCACTTTTCTAATTCTTCCACACCCAGTAACCACTTGTGTCTTAGTAGCTTTACTGCCTTGCATATTTCAAGGGGATGAAATCGATTATATATATATATATATATATATATATATATATATATATATATATTGAAACTTGAATAAAGTATGGAATAATAATAATACAACACAAAATGTACTTAAACAAAATGTATTGACACAAGAAAGGGTACACAATATTTACAGATAGTTTTGGTATATTCTTAGGAAGACCGTTCCTGTAGAATGGGTTGACTTAATCGCAGTCGGGCAGAGTCTCTGGATTGGATCTCTTCTTCCTCCCTCGTCTTCCCGGTACCAACCATATTTATATGGTCGGTACTCCACTATGTAAATTAGGTGGATCGTACCACAACAATATATATATATATATATATATATATATATATATATATGTATTACATATAAATAAAATTCAAAGATACCCATTATAAATGGCCAATTTTTTTTTTAATTATCTTATGATATATTGTTTTTATTTCAGATGTTTTTGTTCGCTCTGCTGGCCAGGTACTGAATTCACAACACTTGGGGGCAAGTCACTTTTTAGATTACTCTACCAATGCATTTATTCCAACGTATATCGCCTGAAGAAGGCCGGGTGTATAACGGCCAAAACGTCGTGAATATGACATTAAAGACGTAAATAGTGTGTAAATAGTTATATCATATCAGAAATATAGACAGATGTTCTGTTCTTATTAGGAAAAGTTTTAACCCGAGAAAAGTCTTCAGAAAGGAAACTTAATTCTTCATTTGAAGACAAGGGAATGATATCTTTTTTTTTTTTTAATGCTATGCAGTTTTATAAATTGTAAATAAATATATATTTTTAATGTTACCACAAACAAAAACACGAGTTCTGTCATATCAAAATGGGTGATATTTATTTTTAGTGTGTTGATGGAAAGCGGCCAGATAGCATTACCATTTTCCCTTTTAAAATGGGGAAATCATTGATTTGGCATGCGTCATGTGCCGATACGTTTTCGACCGGTAATTTGATTAGGTCCACAGTTTAGTCGGGGTTTGTCGCTGGAGACGCAGACATATATATATATATATATATATATATATATATATATATATATATATATATATATATATATATATATATATAAAAGGCTTCTTTTATTATATCCTTACTCTGTCCAAGACATTGAGTTCTACCTGGATTCTTCCTCTTGGAAAATTTTTTTTCTGAAAATATACATGTATGGGTATTTTTTTTATATATATTTTGCATATGTATGTATATTTTCCACTAATATTATATATATATATATATATATATATATATATATATATATATATATATAAAATAGTTAAATATTTTTCTCTTGCTGACAGATTTTTTTTTTTTTTACTCCTGTGGCAGTGGAGACTTCCGGGGTTATTGGCCCTCTTTCGATCGCGTTCCTTCGGAGGATTGGCGCGATGGCGTCTCGATTAAGGGACGAGCCTCGCGAAACGGAGTGGCTCTTGCAGCGTGTCTCACTCGCCATGGTTCGAGGTAATTCTTTCTCCATCATTGCGGCTGACATAGGATAGCAAAATAAAACATTACGTTTATAGATACTTTGTTCAAACTTTGTTCTAATAAAGGTAAATTAATATATATATATATATGGGATTTTTTACTATTTTTGTGCTCGATATTTTTGGTAAAATTTATTTAGTTTACTATGGCTCTATAGTATGTGCAAAAAGATTACCGGATTTGGGCATAGAAAATAAAATTGACGATCCGTGTTCAAATCCAATTTTGTTGCGCTCACTTTCACACAAATTCACTTTAGAAAGTCATGAATCTATATTTTCTTTCCCCAACTATGGGTTAGACAGCGGAGTAAACCGCTGGATAGCCGTCGGTCTAGTAGTTGGATATCTCTGAATTAGAATTATGGATTCCACTATCTTCCCCCAAGAAGTCAGGAAGCAATTCGCAGATGATAAAGAAATTGGATCGCTAGAGACATGATCGCCTACCTCCGGAATGAACTTGTCATTAAAGAACAACCCCAGATGTGTGAGTATATATTGTTGCTTTAAGCCACGTGCAAGTAGACTGACTCCTTGGAAAATCTACATTTTAAATGCCGGTTTTTCACCTGGGTTTGTACGTTGACTATAAATGACCTAACCAGATTTTTTTTTTTTAATTTCGAAGATTTTGAACAAATAGATTAAGCTGTCCATCTCTCATATTACCCTGAGTGTCTCACCTAATATTTCAAGTCTCTTGAAATCGCCCTTCCAGGTAATTAAAAAAGTAGTATCTATAAACATCCCACTTTCTTTGAGGAAGGTATTTCACGCCATAAGTTTTTTTAAAACTATACAGAATAATTCGTACTTTGACCAGGCTAAGCAATTATAAATATTTACTAAGCTAAACTTCAGCTAACATAAAAAACTGATCAGACCACTTCATTGAAACTATAATTTTAAATAATGCAAATTATTAATATTAGATCAATCAACCATTATTATTTTTTTACTATATTTTTTTACTATATTTTTTACTATATTTTTTACTATATTTTTTTACTATATTTTTTACTATATTTTTTTACTATATTTTTTTACTATAGTATTATGCTTTAAATTTGAAGAGGAAATAAGTCGATCGTTGCTCACTACAACTTCATATCACGTGAAGAAAAATGATATTAAAAGAAAATACGATATATTTTTTTTTTTACGAATATTTCTTTCTGGTGATTTCTATCGTTTTATTCTACGATCATTAAATAAACAGCATGAAGATAAAGTAAACCTGCTATGATACGATATCATTTAAACGCATATCACTAATCACTTGACAATATTGTGATCAACTAAATGAACAGCGCCAAATGTTAATTTGCATTTGTACAGAAAACGCTGGTAATAATGTGACAAATAAAGCATAATTCACCGGCAGTAAATTGCCTTTCAAGAGCTAAGAGCTAAACAAGGAGCCCTTAGAAGACACACTATCTGAACTAGTTTGTACATTTGAAATAAGAAATCCTTTTAGAGGAGACCGAATAAAGAAACCTTATCCCTCATCTGACCTTTCATTCTATTCCGATTTTATGCCTGAATAAAGCATGAGCTATCAATCATAGTAAAGATCTTTGTGTTGTGTTTTTTTCTAATATTACGACAGAAGAGTTGTTTAAGTAAGCTCCGTTTTTATTACATTTATCAAAAAGAATACATAATTGATTGATGGATGTGTCGAAATTCCTCCCTGGTATTTAAGATCAGCTCACAGTGGAGTTTGCAGAGAAAGGACTCAACACGAGTACATGGTATTTTGTATACGTGTGTCTGATTGCGTTTAGACATAAATTGTTCAGCTCGTGACACGAAAGAGAAGGAAGAAAGGAGACAAAGAGGTTTCCAACATCCCTTTCTCCGTATGATGATTGATGGCAATGCAATGTAGGAAACTTGAAGCTTAAAAGACAACTGGAAATATGAATGCATTAACATCGCTTCTGTTTGATTAGCAACAACCGGTCAAGTATGGAGAGATTTTAATTTGCTAGGACAAAGTTATGACCTCTATATAAATAAAAGAGTTAGGACAAATAATACACTACCTATTTGAAACGTCGAAATCAAATACGAATGAGGGCATACGCCCGAATCACGTTGAAATACAGGTTCTCGCAAGATCACCTAACTTAAGCAACGTCATGCCTGGTCAATATCTAGATGGGAATACCAGGTACTTTACGCTAAGAGTGTTGGTGATGTAAAGATCTTATGACTCTATTATATTCAAACACTAGTTCTGGTACGATTACGGAAGTTAAGCAACGTCAAGCCTGGTTAGTACCTAAATATGTGACCGCTTGGGAATACCAGGTGCTGCAAGCTGGGATGTGCGAATGGTGTAATAGATAACGGTTCGGAATTAGAAATCAGAGAACCGAGTTCCAATTCCAGTCGGCTTCTTTATAGTCACATACACGCAAATGACCTTGGGAATGGTATTGTAACACCTTCCCCAAAACAGGGTCACATCTTGGTCACGGCACCAAATAACATCACCCCACTAAAACAGGGTCACATCCTTGGTCACGATCACGAAATAATGTAACACCTATCGCCGCCTGCTACACCCACTGGTTTTCAGGGTCTTAGAACGACGATTTACCCAAGGGCTAACTCTGCGCTGGTCAACGATGACGCTGTTCCAAGCTAGTTGTTGGTTGCTAGCCGCTTCAATCCACACCGTGTCCACGTTGTGTTCTCGGTATCAGTGCAATAGAAGGCCCTAATCTCGCAGCTCTGACGGGTACTATGTTAAGGAAAAATATCTTCTCGACGAAAAAGTAAAACGTCGTTAATCTTCATTTGGTTTATATATTTCCCTGACAATCACTCGAGTGACACTTGGACTTGTCTAAACTTCTGGAAAGCTGGGTTCAAAGTCTTTAATCAGGAATTCTGGTGGCAGCTGGCGTGGATTTCAGAAGCACCCGATGCAGCTTCTCAGTCGAAAATCTATGAGCTCACCAAAGGCATCTGCTTATATGCACTTTGGCACCAAACTGGCTGGGGACCGAAGGGTTCTTGGGATTCGTTGAGTCCTTAATTTTCACATCAGTTCTAATAAAGGCTTCCTTTGTTCCCTACCTTAGCTTTCTTAATCAACTTTCCAAATTTGGAAAATTATTCCCCTTACTTGGGAGTAGTTACGGGGATTACTTTTCCCTTAACTCCAACCTGCTTCACTCCATATCTCGTATCGCTACTCTGCACAGGCGGGGCAAAACTCTTCCTCTTTCCTTCTCGTTATTCTAACTCTGCCCACTTCTCAGAGCGCATAATTATCTTTGTGACAAATCTAATTTTTAAAATTAGTAGGAGAAAGGGTGTGGTTTATTCTCCTCATTAATTTCAATTCTCTGACTCATTTCGCACAAACCAGAACACCCTCTTGGTACATGATTGATCTTCATAATCTCATCCCCAAGAAAATGGGTGTTATTCCTTGTTTTCGTTTTCGTCAACGAAAATATGATTTACATCTGTTTCTCTTCGCGTTAATAATATGTTTTCCTAATTTCTCCAGAAAAAGATAAACTTATTTCCCAATTTATTTTGTCAATGGAAATATTTTTGTTTACCTAAATTCTCAACAGACTCTTTGTTTTTTCTTCCCTTAGTTGGTCGCCGTCTCAGCGAAGACACAGACCAGATCCCCTTCCTGCTATGACTGATCGATTTTCATAATCTTAAGCTTCGCAATGGGTTCATTCACTGTTTTCTTTTCTCAATTTCATTTTCGCTAACAAAAAATATAATCCTCATTTGATTTTCTCTTCGCTAGTGACATGTGTTTCCCTAATTTCCCAAGAAAGACGCATTTGTTTTCCAATTCGATTTTTGTTCGCATACCAGACTCACGATAGATAAGAAAAATAAACTTTAGGAGAGAAGAAATTCAGACGGTCCCATTCTCACCAAGGAAAATGTCTCCCTTTACTCTCTCCCTTTCCTTCTCTATCTATCTATCTATCTATCTATCTATCTTCCAGGCTATATTCTATTTTGGGCTTAACCTTTTTCTCCTGCTTCGAATTAATGTTTAACCACCTCACGGGCCTCAGTGTCACGGTATGAATTCTTCTCTTCACCCCCATCTATGGATTTAATTAATAAAACTTGTATAAAAAAAATAATTATTTTCTACAAAAATTCTTGCAATCTAAATATATTTTTAGGCCTTAAATAACCTGAAAAAGTTGTTGATAAGCCTTAAAAATAAATCAGCCAATCACAAAAAAAAATAGCAGTGAATTTTCCGGATTATTCTAATATCTTTCACAAATTAATCAAGTTTTCCTCAAAGTACAAAGAGATCTGTGTGCGTGGCCTCATCAAACGATCTTTGTTTAATCTATGAAACATAGGTAGAGGTTTTATCTGCACTTTTATTGCTCGCTATGATCATAAAGATAGCATTTCTTGTTCCAGTGTCTTTAACAAAACCACACTGTTCTTGCGTTATATCTGGCCTAATTCTACTAGGCGTCTTATTCATCATAATCTGAATAAGCTTATTTATCGGGCTCATTAGCTGAATTGATTTCCATTTGTTGTTTACTTTTTAACATTTTCTATAGATGTCATTAATTATTTACCCTATTTACATGCATATTATTTTCCTCATCTTTGTTGTTATTACCACAACATTTCGGTCGTCGTGCCCTCCGGCCTTCATCATCTGTATGTCGATCCGGGTAATCTACAGCGCATTCCGAACTGAATTCTTTATTTAATGTACGGTTGTCATTGCATTGCCCATGTCTAGGGATATCTCGTCTAATTCTTATTTTTAGTACTGTTCAGTTATTGCTCGTCCATTTCCATTGAGTCCAAGTACACACCGCACAGCCCAGAAATCGAACTCACAGTTCCTATGTCACTAGGTTCACGAGCCAATGACTTAATTCACTAGGCTAGCATTAAGTTAAAATTTCTGCTCGGCCTCACATAAATGGGTCAAACTCAAATTCCATTTCTAAAATAAAAATGTTCAAGTATTTGTTATTTTTCCATTGGGAAATAAGTATGAGTCTTTACTAAACAATGAACAGAATGGTAGACATTTAAGTATTTAAAATAGTTTCTGGCGATAAAAACTGTCTCGCACGACACATTGAACCAACTTTCCTAGCAGTAGATCTAACAATTGATTCAATACAATCTTTCTCCTTCATTTCAGCAGGAAAGAAGGTACAATGAGTCACTCTCCCGGGGGGTTAGGATTAGTCATGCTGATGGAAGTCAAAACAGGTTCTCTCTGGCGATTAAAAGAGAGTAGTTTCGTTTTGGAAGCGTTAAAAAATATCATGTCATTCCTTGCCTCAGTTAATAAAAGATCATTTTTTACATCAGCTGATCATTTGACTTTATCAAACCGATCAGACTATTAGGACAGGTGTAAATAGTCATATCATCAGTTTTATCATCAGCATAGATACCTAGTTGAGAACTGATACCAAGAAGGTCGTTGATGAAAATTAGGAATAAGGTGGGTCTAAGGATAAAGTGCTGGGGACACCTGCATTAAAGCAAAAAGATCTAGAAGAGTGGCCATTCAAGATAACTTTCATTTCACGAATTGATGAGAAAGTCTGAATAAGTTAAAAAAATTTCGCCCAGAAATATAATAAACTATCAACTTGTTAAGAAGAACGGTATACCAAACCCTATCAAATACCTTCGTGTGTGTGTGTGTGTGTTTATATGTATGTAGTTATGTGTGCTTGTATGAATGAATGAATGCGTTGGCGCGCGCGCTCACGCGCGTGTGCGTGTGTGTGTGTGTGTGTGTGTGTGTGTGTGTGTGTGTGTGTGTGAGAGAAAGATAGAGAGGTAGCCTAATTCAGGCGATATCTTCGAATCAATATTTATTGGTAATTTGTGAAACGAACTTTTGTTAGGATTCAATAATTTTTTCCAACTAGCATCTCCACATGATTGCAAAATGTCACCCGGTCCACTTTCTACCCCTACTTTGTTCCATTCAGCCATCTTTATGGCCTTTTGAACAGGACGCCATATTACGTTCAGTCAAGTATATCGTTCTCTTACGAACAATATCGTTCTGAGAGATTCTCAGAATTCGTTATTGCTAAAGCATTATCCTTTATGACGACGCTGTGTCTCTTCAAGGAACTAATATACTACAACACTGATTACCACACGAATTTCGGTAAGTTTATTGTTATTTAATAAGCATAGTTTAGTATCCCACATAGCTAGATGGATTTCGGGAGATTGTGCTAATTTAATTTGCAGGGTTGTAAGTTTCTGGAACACGATTAAATATTGCAAAATATAATTTGGGTTAATGAACAGCAAGGTGTCGACTCTCTTATAGTTTTTCTATGGAAAAAGTTGCATTGATTTCCGCCAGTAAAAGGTTTAAACTAACAGATTGAGGTATTATGTACAGTATTTACATTATTCGGATTATTGTCCTCATCTTTGTCGCCATATTTATTACAATGTTGTACGCTCCGGCCTTCAGGTGGTTGGAATGTCGAACTGAACCCTTTATTTCGCTCACTGGGGTAGACTGTTCTAGTTCCACGTGCTATGTTTGATGGATGTTAGTTGTCAGTTATCTCCTGTTAATTCCCCTCTCTAAGTTCTTCACTGACTTAACCGGGTATTGAACTCACACTCTTTTGGTCCTGTCACTTTTGGTCCTTGAGAACACATAGCACAGTGGATATAGGCGTTAGTAGACCCAGTGACAGGACCCAAAGAGTGTGAGTTCAATACATAAAATCTAGAAATATTTATATCATTTTTTTTTCATTCTCTCCGCTTTCGATTATTAGGAAAAAAACCTACAAAAATGAAGTTTTATAAATATTTCATCGCTTCTATTTAATTTCCAATTTTCCCTCATGAAAATTGGAGAGACCTATGTTACTGACTTTCTTAAGGAGTAGTATATATTTTGATTCAATTCCTGTGGGTGAATTGATAAATACCATCTTGGATGATTAACCCAACACAATCACCCTTCACCTCATTTTAACCTTGTACCAGATTCGGCCAAGCTTAGAAGATATCCTTATGACATACAGCATATAGTCTACATTATTTACATTATTCGGACTATTGTCGTCATCTTTGTCGCCATATTTATTACAACGTTTCGGCCGTTGTACGCTCCGGCCTTCTTCAGGTAGGTTGGAATGTCGAACTGAACCCTTTATTTCCCTCATTGGGGTAGACTGTTCTAGTTCCACGTGCCTTTACTCACTGTGCCATGTGTCCTTGAGGAGTCATGGCACAGTGGATAAGGGCGTTGGTTAGATCCAGTGACAGGACCCAAAGAGTGTGAGTT